CCAGTCTAATCCCACTCTCCCCCCTCACTCCCCTCTCCCTTTAATATCCCACCCAGTCTAATCCCACTCTTCCCTCTCACTCCCCTCTCCCTTTAATATCCCACCCAGTTTAATCCCGCTCTCCCCCCTCACTCCCCGCTCCCTTTAATATCCCACCCAGTCTAATCACACTCTCCCCCTCACTCCCCGATCCCTGTAATATCCCACCCAGTCTAATCCCACTCTCCCCCTCACTCCCCATTCTCTTCAATATCCCACCCAGTCTAATCCCACTCTCCCCTCTCACTCCCCTCTCCCTTTAATATCCCACCCAGTTTAATCCCGCTCTCCCCCTCACTCCCCGCAATACGCCATTCACACTAATCCCACTCTCCTCACTCACTCCCCTCTCCTTTTAATATCCCACCAAGTCTAACCCCAGTCTCACCCCTCACTCCCCGTAATATCTCACCCAGTCTAATCCCACACTCCCCTCACTCTCTGCTCCCATTAATATCCCTCCCAGTCTACTCCCCCTCTCCCCCTCATTCCCCGCACCCTTTAATATCCCACCCAGTCTAATTCCACTCTCCCCCTCACTCCCACCTCCCATTAATATTCCACCCAGTCTAATCCCACTCTCCCCCATCAATCCTAGCACGATTTAATGCCCCACCCATTTGAATCCAACTCACCCCCTCACTCCCCGCTATATCCCACCCAGTCTAACCCCACTCTCCCCCCTCACTCCCCGCACCATTTACAATTGCCCCGAGGTGGTGTAATTTCATGACCGCACTCACCGTTGGGTTGTACAGTGAGGTTTTCCAGGCCAATTCTCTTTTCTAGAATCTTCTGCCAGCTGCCATCAGGGTCTTGTATCCACTCTGCCGCTGTGCAGTGGTACAGGCCCGCATCCTGGGGTTTGACATGGTCCATCCTCAGGATGTAGGTGTCACCTTTAACCTTCTGCATTCCCAGTTGGCCCCTGTAGAAACGGGACCAGTAAGGCCCGGCTGGCGGACTCTCCACGCTGAGGTCAGGCCTGACGCCAACGATGGTGTCACGGGTCCCGGTCATACTCCTGGTAACCTCGAACGCGAGCGAGATGTGGGTGTGCAGCACGGTAAGGGCTGCAGCACGGCATCGCAAGCTGAGACCATCCCCCTCGCGCAGGGCCAGACTCGAGAACTCTCCCAACGGTGTCGACAGCATCAGGGTGTCTGGGAGGACTGTACACAGAGCGAGAGAGGGAGGGACAGAGGGAGGGATAGAGAGGGAGGAAGGTTTGGAGAGCGACAGCGAGAGAGAGGGAGAGGAAGGAAGGGACGGAGAGGGAGAGAGAGAGCGAAAGGGAGAAAGAGAAAGAGGGAGAGCGAGAGGGAGAGCAAGAGGGAGGGGGAGAGAGAGGGAGAGAGAGGGGGAGAGCGAGGGAGAGGGAGAGGGAGAGAGGGGGGAGCAAGAGCGAGAGGGAGAGGGAGAGAGAGGCAGGGAAGGAGAGCATGGGAAAAGGAGTGACAGAGAGGGAGAGAGATGAGAGATTGAGGGATAGGGAGGCAGCGGGAGACAGAGTGAGGGAGGGAGAGAGAATGGGAGGAAGAGAGAGGGAGATAGAGAGGGAGGGAGTGAAAGAAAGAGGGAAGAAGAAAGCGAAGGATGGAAAGAGGGAGGGAGGGTGAAAGGGTGACAGGGAGAGGGAGAGGAAGGGAGAGGGAGAGGGAGGGATGGAGAGGTTGAGTGAGAGGGAGAGGCAAGGAAGGAGAGCACAGAAAAAGGAGGGGAGGAGGGGAAGGGACATGAGAGAGGGAGGGACAGAAGGAGGCAGAGGGAGAGGGAGTGAGGGAGTGAAAGAGAGGAAGAAAGAAGGAGAAAGAACGGGAGAGAGGGAGTGAGGGGGGGAAGAAGAGAGGGAGTGATGGAAAAAGGGAGGGAGACAAAAGGGAGAGAGGGAGAGGGATATGAAGAGGTAGGGAGCGATGGAAAGGGAGGTAGAGAGAGAGAGAGGCAGATTGAAGAAGGGAGAGAGAGGGAAAGAATAAGAGAAAAAGAGGGAAAAAATGAGACAGTGAGAGAGAGAACGAATGAAAGGGAAACAGAGAGAGTCAGAGAGAGAGAACAAGAGAAAAATGGAGAGAGAAAGACAGATAGAGAAACAATGAGTGACAGGTACAACACAAGAAACAGAGAGACAGAGAGAGTCAGGAGACAGAATGAGCAAGAGTGAGATGGAAGGAGATGTAGAAACAGTGGAAGAGAGTGAGAGGGAGATACAGTGAAAGAGTGAGTGAAGTCAAGTTTGAGGGAGAGTGAGACAGCAGTGGACAGAGTGAGAGTGAGAGCAAGATGGAAGGAGAGGAGTGAGATACAAAAACAATGCAACAGAGAGGGAGACAAAGAGGAAGGAAGAGAAAGAGAAAGGACAAATCGGGAGAAAGAAAGTCACAAATACCAGCATAAGAAGAAATGGTAGAAGAAAGGACGAGAAGCGATACAAACAGGAAGGGAAAGTGGAATACAATATTGTCACTCTACACAATTCCAATGGACCCAAACCCCTTCCCATTCACTCCCTCTGCACACAATCCCAATGGACCCAAACCCCTTCCCATTCACTCCCACTCTACACAATTCCAATGGACCCAAACCCCTTCCCATTCACTCCCTCTGCACACAATCCCAATGGACCCAAACCCCTTCCCATTCACTCCCACTGTACACAATCCCAATGGACCCAAACCCCTTCCCATTCACTCCCACTGTACACAATCTCAATGGATCCAAACCCCTTCCCATTCACTCCCGATGCACACAATCCCAATCCCAACCTCCTTTCCATTCACTCCCACTGCACACAATCCCAAAGGACCCAAAGCTCTTCCCATTCACTCCCACTGCACACAATCCCAATGGACCCAAACCCCTTCCCATTCACTCCCTCTGCACACAATTGCAATGGACCCAAACCCCTTCCCATTCACTCCCACTGTACACAATCCCAATGGACCCAAACCCCTTCCCATTCACTCCCACTGTACACAATCCCAATGGACCCAAACCCCTTCCCATGCACTCCCACTCTACACAATTCCAAAGGAACCAAACCCCTACCCATTCACTTTCACTCTACACAAACCCAACATACCCAAACCCTTTCCAATTCATTCCCACTGTAAACAATCCCAATGGACCCAAACCCTTTCCCATTCATTCCCACTGTAAACAATCACAATGGACCCAAACCCCTTCCCATTCAGTCTCACTGGAAACAATCCCAATGGAGCCAAACACCTTCCTATTCACTCCCACTGCACACAATCCCAATGGAACCAAAAACCTTCCCATTCACTCCCACTTCACACATTCCCAATGAACACAAACTCCTTCCCATTCGATCCCACTCTACATAATCTCAATGGACCCAAACCCCTTCCCATTCACTCCCACTACACACAATCCCAATGGACCCAAAACCCTTCCCATTCACTGCCACTCTACACAATCCCAATGGACGCAAACATCTTCCTGTTCTCTCCCACTCTACAAAATCCCAATGGAAGCAGACCACTTCCAACTCAGTCCAACAGTACACCTTCCCAATGGAACCAAACCCTTTCCCATTCACTCCCAGTGCGCACAATCCCAAAGGAGGCAAACCCCTTCCCATTCACTCCCACTGCACACAATACCAATGGACCCAAAACACTTCCCATTCACTCCCACACTACACAATCCCAATGGACCCAAACCCCTTGCCATTCACACTCATTGTACACAATCACAATGGATCCAAACCATTTCCCATTCACACCCAGTGTGCACAATCCCAATGGACCCAAAACCCTTCACATTCACTCCCACTGCACACAATCCCAATGGACCAACACCCCTTCCCATTCACTCCCACTCTGCACAGTCCCAGTGGACAGAAATACCCTCCCATTCTCTCCCACTGTACACAATCCCAATGGAGCCAAGACCCTTCCCAATCACTCCCACTGAACACAAACCCAATGGACCCAACCACCTTCCAATTCACTCCCACTGTACACAATCCCAATGGACCCGACCCCTTCCCATTCACTCCCACTCAAAACAATCCTAATGGAACCAAACCCTTCCCATTCATTCCCACTCTACACAATTACAAAAAAACAAAACCCCTTCACATTCACTCCCACTCTACATAATCCCAATGTACCCAAACCCCTTCCCATTCACTTTCACTTTACAAAATCCCAATGGACCCAAAACCCCTTCCCATTCACATTTATTGTACACAATCCCAAAGGACTCAAACCACTTCCCATTCACTCCTACTGTACACAATCCAAATGGACCAAAACCCCTTCCCATTCACACACACTGTTAACAATCACAATGGACCCAAACTCCTTCCAATTCACTCCCACTGTACACAATCCCATTGGAACCAAACCCCTTCCCATTCACTCCCACTCTGCACAATCCCAATGGACCAAAATACCTTCCCATTCTCTCCCAATGGAACCAAAACACTTCCCATTCACTCCTACTGCACACAATCCCAATGGACCCAAATTCCTTTCCATTCATTCCAACTCTACACAATCCCAATGGACCCAAAACCCTTCTCATTCACTCCCAATGTAAACAATCACAATGGACCCAAAACCCTTCCCATTCAGACCCACTCTGCACAATACCAATGGAACACAAGCCCCTTCCCGTTCACTGCCACTCTACACAATCCAAATGGAACAAAACATCTTCCCGTTCGCTCCCACACTACACAATCCCAATGGAAGCAGAACACTTCCCATTCACTCCGACTGTACACAATCCAAATGGACCCAAACCCCTTCCCATTCACATTCACTCTGCACAGTCCCAGTGGACCGAAATACCTTTCCATTCACCCCCACTGAACACAATCCCAATGGAAACAAGACCCTTCCCAAAAACTCCCACTGAACACAATCCCAATGGAACCAAACACCTTCCAATTCACTCCCACTGTACACAATCCCAATGGAACGTAAACCCTTCCCATTCACTCCCACTCTGCACATTCCCAATGCACCGAAATACCTTCCCATTCTCTCCCACTGTACAAAATCCCAATGGAACCAAAACCCATTCATTCACTCCTACTGCACACAATCACAATGGACCCAAACTCCTTCAGATTTTCTGCCACTCGACTGAATCCCAATGGACCCAAACTCATTCCCATTCACTCCCACTTCACACAATCCCAATGGACGCAAAACCCTTACCATTCACTCCCAATCTGCACAATCCCAATGGAACAAAACAATTTCCCATTCACTCTCACTCTAAACAATCCCAATGGACCCAAACTCCATCCCATTCACTCC